AATGTGACACCATGTTCCCTAGTTAAACAGCTGTGCCACATTTCCTGGCACTGTCCTGAGACACATCTCTAAAAAACATCACATCTGCCTGTTCACTGCCTGTTTGATTTTGTGCTGAGGACATCTGGTGTGATTATGCACACAATGTCCAGCTCTGCCTTTTCTGATAACTTTCTGGGTACAGTAACAGTTGGTGGTTCAAGTAGCTGACACATAAAAAAGACTGAAAGCATTAAGGAACCAGAAAACTGATCAGAATGATCAAAGATCCAGTGTGTTCAGTATGCAGCAAGGTTCTGTCATCAAAGTCATCAAATTCTGAAAAAAAGAACAGTGGAGGAAAAGAGGAGAAGTGACATGAACTCTGAGGAGGGAAATGAAGGGTGGAGAGATGTTTCTCTGTCTGAAAGCCATAAAGAGCTTCATTAACGCACGAGCTGCTGCATCCTCCTGAGAACACTCTGTCTGTCCCTCTCTTGCTTCTTGTCTCTCTTTGTGTCTGTCTCTCTCTCATTAATCTCAGATGTTGTGCAATGGAATGTTGTTCTCAGTCTGCAGATGGATTTAGCAGAGAGCACAAAAATATATCTGCCCCTAGACACACACTCACTCACTCATACAGGCATGACAATGGTATGGAGCTTTGTTAACCCTCAGTACTGCAGCGGTCAAAGAAATGAGAGAAACATAGAGCTAGCTTAGTAAATGTGTGCATGATTGTGTGAGAGATTAAAGTGGGTTTTTACGTGTTCCTAAATCCTGTTTTAGATTATATGTAATTTGCTGCTCTGTACTGAGATACTTATTATGTTTTAATGGATTTAAAGCTAATGAGGTTTTATAGATTTTATAGTAGTTTAGTTTCAGTTAGTCCAAATCCACATCTTCCAAACAGTAAATATATAGCCAGATTAGTTTTATTATGATTTATCAATGTTGATTTTCAGTTTTTCATCTAGAAGGCCAGTACAGACGCAATGACCTCTGAAGTAATTGACAGGCACTGTGTTTAATTAAACTCTTAACCTTTTAATTTCCTTATAAAGGCATAGTAATTGTAAAAGTCCTATTCATTATTGTGCAGCGAGTGGTCCTGCCGATGATTTATATTAGCAATTTGAGCAAGTGAACAGTAGATACTCTGTTAGATAGGCTAAATTGTGTCTGTGTGTGTTGTTCATCTGCATTTTTTTAGATGTGTGGTGCGCTCCATGGCGACATGATGACCCCGATGATCTGACCCCCATGACCCTCCTTTGACAGTCTTTGCACTGAACAAGTGTTGAGCAACAGGTCCAAAATTAAGAGTTAATAAAATCCTGTGAGCACTCATATTTTTCATTTGTTCCTGTAACACATAAAAGTGAGTGTATGTTTAATAAGTCATTCTGCTATATAAGGAAAACAGAGCTAATATCCAATCTCTAGTCCCTAAAAGTTAATTCTCTGCAAGTTTTTTTTTTTTCCAGCCAAGTATGATAAGGTAGTATATTTGTGTATGGGGGTTTAGGAAATTTTAAGTGTTTAAAATGTTGGGAGACATAGGACACGGTCCAACAAATGGTTTCACTACTTGTGAGGGCTAGATGTCTGAAAATGGCCTCATAAATATAGTAAAACCTCTTTAAACTGGCTTGTTAGGATGGCCCTCGCTTGTAAAAAAAAAAAGATTCACAAATAGGCCAGGTTATGTCTTCAAATCTAAACATGCAAAAATTTGTCTATACATGGTAGGGGAGGATTTGTTCTGGATTACAGTTAAAGTTTTGGATGTAGTAATTATAATTTACCAACAATAGAAATCTGTGGGGGCCCCCACAAATATAAGTGTACATGGTTGACTGTGTCTGTATATGTGGTGTCAGTATGTCACAAGACATGATGTTTACCTGCAACTGCTCAGCGCTGCGTTGTGATCCAAAAATAGAGCTGTAGGAATCTGGCAGCCTGTGTTTGTGTGTGTAAAAGAGAGAGACACTAGACATTCATGTTAAGAGTCAAACTCTGACCCCTGCTGGAAAAGAGTAATGAGTGCCTCATTCAACAGTCTTTATGTGAGATGAAAACAGTGATTACATTTGGTTTCAAAATAGCACTGGCTGACTCTGTTATTCTTTTTTACAGGTACTCGGGGCACAGTTCGTAAACTGTGTGTGGAAGTGACGTTCAGCCTTTCGTTTGTGTATGTGATGGAGGGCTTTCCTGTCCATTGACGCTGCGGCACTGCCCTGCAGTCATGTCTGCATGCAACACCTTCACTGAACATGTGTGGAAACCAGGGGAGTGCAAAAACTGCTTTAAGCCCAAGAGCCTTCACCGGCCTCCAGAGCAAGCCAATGCTGCCAGTGAGAGCAAGACAAACATCAGTGCCAAACTCACAAACAGCCAGAGGAGCATTTCCTCATCCCGTGCAGGGCAGGTCCGCCCACCTGTCGCCAAGAAGCCTACTATTGCAGTAAAGCCTACCATGATGCTGCCATGCTCCCCACCAGGGTTGGACTCGGAGGGAAATGTGCCAAGGCTTACAGGAGCGCAGGTCACTAAAAGCTCACCTTTCACTGTGTGGAACCAAAACAGCCTGAACAGCTCAAGACCCACAGGGACAAACAACAACCAAGGGGAGGATTTGGTCAGGCAAGCAGAGGCACATGGTGCAATTTCCCCGCAGCCAACTAGCAGCAACAACAACGGACTGACGGATGTGCTAAAAGAGATTGCTGGCCTGGGACCTTCTCCAAGCTCAAGTAGAGATGACTTCTTTGGCCGGATCTGCAGTTCATACCGGCGCTCATTAGAGAGGGGCCTTCCAGCATCAAACTGTATCCATGCTGGGAGTAGTGGTAGAGGAGCAATGAAACGTGTTTCCCTCAGTGACAGTGCAGAGGTCATCAGTTCTGAGGGAGGACGTTTCTGTTATCCAGAATTCTCCAGTGATGGTGATGATGAGGAGGATGAGAGTGGTGATGAGGATGACGACGATGGAGAGCATGACAGTTGGGATGAAAGTGATGAGGAGTTGCTAGCAATGGGGATACGAATGCGGGGTCAACCTAGGTTCGCCAACTTCCGTGCAGCTACACTGTCCCCGGTTCCCTTCGCTGTAAGGAAGAAGTGGAATACAGTGCCTCTACGCAACCGCTCACTGCAACGGTTCTGTGCAGTGGATTACGATGACAGTTACGATGAGATTCTCAATGGATACCCATCTGTTGACTCAAATGGAGCTCCTGTTCTTTTGTCATACACCTCTGACCACCAGGGTAGTGGCTTTTTGTCCACTTCTGAGTCCACCACCTCACCCGAGTCCTTGATTTCTCTGCCCGATGAATCCTGCGCTGGCAGCAGTAGGGGCACTGGTGACCAGAGAAATGGTCTTCCTTTCCCACCTAGCAAAGAACCGTCAGCCAAAGGACTGAGTTTGCCAAAACCCAGTGAAACGCATAAAGCTGTTCTAGCCATCCGACTGGAAGAACAAGACGACGTTCAGAGAGAGGGTGTGGCTCTCCCACAAGCTCTTCCAGGCCAGCCAATCACAATCAGCTTCAGTCCAACTGAGGAGCAGGCCAAGCCTTATCGAGTAGTGAATCTCGAGAAGACTCCTTTCTGTAAGCCCTATACAGTGGTGGATGTGTCTGCCTCTATGGCCACTAAAGATGAACACACTCACTCAAGTGAAAGCACTCCAAAGTCAAGTGGGCCCAGTGTTGTGCTTTGCCCTTCTGCTGAACCCTGTCCTGTCTCACCCACCTCGCCTCAGTCCCCCAGATCTGCAGTTTCACCTGTGGCATCTCCATGTGTTTCATTGTCTCCCCTGATGCCTCAGTCTCCTACAAGTTCTGCCTCTGGAGGACCCAGTGGTTTCCGCACAAAACATGGCAGCATCCGTTACCAAGAAGTGTGGATGTCTTGCACCAGCCCTCGACAAAAGATCCCTAAAGTTGATTTAACAAGCAGCAGTGCCGCTCCAAGACTCATCAATCACAAATCAGCTCCCACATCTCCAACTGCAGGCTTCGGCTCAGCCCGCACAGTCCCAACTAAATCGCCTAACTTGTCTGAGATCAAATTTAACAGCTACAACAATGCCGGCATGCCCCCGTTTCCCATCATCATCCGTGATGAGCCTGCATATGCACGCAGCTCCAAAAAAGCAGTGAAAGTTCCCATTGTGATTAATCCCAGTGCGTACGATAACCTAGCTGTTTACAAGAGTTTCCTGGGGCTCAATGGTGAGCTGCCACATTCCAAGCCTGGGGCGGGAGAGCGAGTGGCCAGCCACACATATGAGGAGATTGGATCTTCCGAAAGTTCCCAGCCATCGCCTTCTGAGCAGACACCACCTCAGCTGAAGCACGCAACAGATGTAACTGCTCCTGGGGAACTGAGGACTACCACAGTATCCGGACAGACTGTAAACGACAGCAAATCAAGGACTATGACAGGTGTCTCCGTCCTTCCTGTAGGTAGCCTGAGCCCTAGCCCTGCCGTTTTGGCACATAGCAGTCTGGATCGTATTCGTAACCCCAGCAGTGAGCAACCGACAGAGGGCAGCAAAGATTGCCAGGTCACATCGAATGGAAGTTCAGGTCAGAGAGAGAAAGCAAGTGCTGTTCTGTCTCAAATTGTGGCCTCCATTCAGCCACCGCCTTCTCCTCCAGACTCCCCTGCAGGCCAGAGTAAGACGTGCAGTGCTGAGGAGCTTTACTCGCTGCCACCAGATGCTTCCAGAGATGCTCCTAACAGACCTAAATCACTCCACTGTTCTGCAGAACCTCAAAAAGACACACCACCTAAAGTCCTTCCCAAATCCCAGAGTGCCTCTGCTGCTGTACCACCCACAAGCCCCAAATCTGAACTTAGTGCCCCATTTCCCCCAGCCCGGTCTAGCTCCTCTCCTTACCACTCAAGCAACCTGCTTCAGAGGCATTTCAGCAACTGGACCAGACCAGCTGGGGCCAAACCTAGTGATGGAGAGACCAGTCCTGGTGCAGAGGGCAGACGTTCGACTGACAGTAACAAGCCCAAGCGCTGGATATCCTTCAAGAGTTTCTTCCGCCGGCGGAAGGATGAGGAGGAACAGAAAGAGAAAATGGAGCGAGAGAAGGAAAAAGGGAAGCTTCTGGGATTAGATGGCACCGTCATCACCGTACTGCCTCCTCCACCTCTACAGAGACAGCACTGGTTTTCAGAGTCCAAGACAGATGACCCACACCAGAAACCCACGATCATATTTAGCTACAAATCAGAGAGCATCACAGGTGGAGAGGAGGCAGAGCTTCGGGTTGAAGAACACAAAGAAGGTGTCACAGCAGAAGGTGGAGCTACCAGCCTGTCAACTCCACCCAAGAGCAGAGCCAGTCTCCTCATTAGCAAAGTCATGAAGTAAGCTGTCTTTCTCTGTCAATCCCCCCTCTCTCTTTCTCACTCTCTCTCTTAGCTTTTTAATGTAAAAACATATACTAAGGTCTTCCTCTGTCCTTATCTTGCTCTGTCTTAGTGTGTATTTTATTTTCCTTTATTTTCATCCCAGATGAAATGCAGAGTTTTTGATAAACCCTAGTGATAAATGTGTACCCCTAAGGTATAGCTTTTTGTAATGCCTGATAGGGTCAGAAAGCTCTCAGATTTAATCTAAAATACCTTAATTTGTGTTCCGAAGATAAACAAAGGTTTAGGGGGGTTTGGAACTACATGAAGGTGAGTAATTAATGACAAGAAAGGTGCAAAAGCAACACAGAAGTATTGTAGAAGCGGTCATATTGTAGCTTTTTGTGAAAAATGGATTGTTTATGATTTTTAACATAAAAAGCAAGGATTTAGAAATTGGGGATGCAGGTTATTTTACAAAGCTAAATTTAAAACCTTCAGATTTTTTTACAGATATTTACTGATGCTCTCAACTCAAGAACTGCCACGAACTGATTTTAAAGTCAGCGTTTTTGTGAAGTAGATCAACTAATTCGTTAACAAGATCTAAAATTTCGAATAACTACTAATATTTTGGTCTGCTTATCACATAAAGTTATTATATGACTTCTTGTCACATAACACACACAAGTCATATGGATTTCTTTTGATACTTTTATAGTGCTTTTGCATCCATTTTTAAGCTTCAAAGCCCTAGTCAGCATTCAATGCAAATGCATGTAAAAGAGCGACCAGCACATATTTGGAAATATCTTAGTAAGTTGTACAGCTTTGGAACAAAATGAGGGTGAGAAAA